TGGCATCACTGACTCAATGGACACAAGTTTGAGAAAATTCCAGGAGATGGTGAAGGACAGGGAAGCCTGGTGTGCTGCAGTCCACAGGGTCACAAAGAGTCAGACACAACCTAGTGACTGAACAACAACAACAACAAATGATGTTGTTTTTAGTAGACATTTGTAAAAGCAATAATTTTACCTTAAGGGGAAAAAATGCGCATTATTCAATTTAGGTCTAAATCCTGAGTGACTGTTTAGACCAGATAGAGACCATGAATTAAAGATTAAATTTCAGTGTAAATTCTTGAGACAAACATCAATGGATTAACAGAGTTAAAATGTAATCTTGTTTCAAGGAAAGAAGGAAGGAAGGAGAGAAAAAAGTTTTTCTAAAGACATCTTAAAAAGGGTTATTATAACCAAAAGTTGATATTCTCCCAATTAGAGATGAAATATACAAAAATTCTTTGCCCTACGTTGAATCCATTCAGTCAGTTCAGTCACTGAGTTTTGTCTGTCTCCTTGTGACCCCATGGACTGCAGCATGCCAGGCTTCCCTGTCCATCACCAACTCCCTGAGCTTGCTCAAACTCATGTCCATTGAGTCAGTGATGACATCCAACCATCTCATCCTCTGTCATCCCCTTTTCCTCCTGCCTTCAATCTTTTCCAGTATCAGAGTCTTTTCCAATGAGTCAGTTCTTCACATCAGATGGCCAAAGTATTGGAGCTTCAGTATCAGTCCTTCCAATGAATATTCAGGACTGATTTCCTTTAGGATCGACTGGTTTGATCTCCTTGCAGTGCAAGGGACTCTCAAGAGCCTTTTCCAACACCACAGTTCAAAAGCATCGATTCTTCAGCACTCAGTTTTCTTTACAGTTCAACTCTCACATCCATACATGACTATTGGAAAAACCACAGCTTTGACTATATGGACATTTGTCAGCAAAGTAACATCTCTGTTTTTAATATGCTGTCTAGGTTTTTTCTTTTATGGCTGTGGTAAGAAACACACACTGGCAGGAATGTGATGGTTTGGTTTTAGCATTTAATTCAGCGATGCACTTGCAGACTGCATTTAAAGTATAGAGATATAAATTTGATTCAACTGATCTCATTTAACAGTTTATACAAGAAGCCTCAATTCACATTTTCTCCACTGACTTTGCTTTAGCACTTTCAAATTGAGTAGGTCTGTTTGGACTCTCACCCTCACACCCAATATATGGATAAATATAGAGAGAAATAATCAATGGGAGGAAAACTAAGATTTGGGTCATATAACAACTCTGCTTAGTTGGTATCCAAACACATAATTCACATGGCTGAAAAGCCCCCCATGGATTGCTTATCCATTACATACCAATTGCTGAAAAGGCTATAACTTTATCAAATGCATAATTCAGGAATCCTGTAAGCATTTAGTATTTAAATCCCACTTACTGAAAGGCCAATACATAGTAAGTAATCCATGTGTGAAATTAAATCCAACCCTAAGGAATATTTATATACATGTTGTTTTTAATCCTGTCTGAAGCCTTTCCAAGAAAATACCATGCTGAAGGATCAAAAGGCAATTTAACCAACCTGACTCCAAACTGCCACCATCCTATTCCAAGGAATATCATCACCTCAGCAATCACCATCTGCTTCAATAGAAAACATCCAAATAGATATGCCCATCAGTTCAGTTCAGTTCATAGCCCATTTAAAAAAGAAGTTCATTTATTCAATATTAGGTTGCAGAAATTTTAAAATTACTACTCATTACTATAAATAGCCATTAAGCATTTGCATGGTTTTCTATTTGTATCTGCTTAGAGTCTATTGTTACTGTAGTCACCACTTCCTTTTTGATTCACACAGTACCGAGTGGGCTACCTGCTGGAAATCTGCGTTTCTTCATGGCAGCCTCTTAACCTCCAAGAGTCACTTTACTAAAGGAGTCGGGGAAGGCCAAGAGAGTGTGGATGACCCTGGGAAGTCCATCAAAACTACGGCAAGAGCTATCAAATCACAACCCCACAAGCAAAGGTAGGTAATGTCACCACACAAGTAAAAGGAAAAAAAGCTCTATCTAGTCTTGCTGACTCTGATGAGATACTGTCATGACAATTGGGCTGGAAAAGATTGTAAGGAAACTTGGAAGGCACCTAACCTGCTCTGTTACTCAACTCAGCCCTCTGTATTCAAAGGCAAAATTGTCTCTTATTAGACAAGAGGAAAATCCACCTATCTCCTCTGAGTGTGCATTGAGTTTCTATAAAATTTAAATCCACTCAACAAGATTCCTTAACAGTTTTGCCCAAGTTGAGAGCAAACCAAGAACAAAAGCAGAGATTCCCGGCTGCAAAAAGCAGCTCTGCAGCATCTGCTTTTCTTTCCTTCCTGCCTTTGGATCTAAAGGCTGAAGCACAGGTGAGGAGCAGGGCTAACAAGGGCATGGCTCACACCACGCCCTGCGCTCAGAAATTCCAGCGCTGGGAGCCTCTGCAAGGAAGCCGCCTGGGAGCTGTATGGTCGGGTGGTCTACAGAGCTGCTCCAAGTTGCGGCTTCCATCCCTCATGTGTGGAAATGGCACACCTAGCTCTTGATCCCTACTCCTCTCCATCTCCTCCAGCACCTCACCATCTTTTCCCTTCTCTGTGCCCTCTGTCTTAATAAAGTTTCCTCTGGGCATTATCTTCAGATTTAGAAAAGTTTAACCCCTTCTCTGCTTTATCCTATAAATTTATAAACTGGTATTCTCATTTCATATTCATAAATTCTTAGTACTATATATAATGTACAGTATTTTATCATCTTTACACACTATCATTGACTATTCATAACCAGTCTTGAACTGGGGAAGTGTCATTATATATAAAGCATTGCTGATAGTCTGAGGAGTGGGCAAGATTTTGTGAATGAGAGTTTTTCGTTTTCCAAATCTTGTCGTTAAGAAATCATGTAAACATATTAATTTTACATTGAAAGTTGGTACAAAAGTATGAATAAGATATATGACGTAAATGCAGACTGATAAAAATAAAAATAATAAAGTCAAATCTGTGTTCTAAATCAAAAAAAAAAAAGAAATCATATCTTACATATAACTCTATAGGTGAGGTCAAATTCTCCGTTTCCTCTTTTAATGAATTGAAATTATTTTTCACTATCATTCTAAGAAAAAGCATATGATAACTTTTAAAGTAATAGATATTAAGCATCCTTGTTTCCCCAGTTAAATGGGTGCATGCACACTCAATTGTTGTGTCCGACTCTTTGGGACCCCATGGATTGTAGCTTACTAAGATACTCTGTCCAAGGAATTATAAACTCCTTTAGACAGGACTAAGTCTACTTTAATGGTTTCTGACCAATTGATAAAGATACGGGCTAATGTTTACTTCAAATCTGCTGTATGTCAGGTACTATTCTAAGAGCTATAAATTAACTCATTCCTCATGACACATTTCTATTAACTCCATTTTACAGATGAGAAAACTCAGGCATGGAATGGTTAAGTACTCTGCATGAGTTACAAAGCTTAAGAGTAGTTAATGATAAATGGAAATAAACATGGCAGGAATCTTCATTTCTTTCATCATTTCCTGAGCAGCTAACCAACTTCCTCTACAAAGGCTCACATTCTCTACAGATATCTCAAAAGTAAACAATGATAAATCAAAAAAATGAGAACTGAATGGTTCTCACTGGTCCAGATCCACAAAGTCCACAGTTTCCAGTGTAATTTCTAGTTCATTTGTTAGCTTGCAATACTTTCCCTTGCCTTTAGAAATACTTAAACTAATTGTGTTCAAAAATAAACCTGACTAGATACTGTTCAAGTATTTTAACCTTTATAATTAGCTTCTAGTTACCAAAAGTATTGTTTGCAGATACTATTAATATATGATTCTCACTTACAAGTCTTTCTGCCACAGAGAAGCTTGTGTATAAAACACAAAGGGAGAAAATTAAACTCAGATTTCTTTTTCGATGAACTCTATTGGCTTATAAGAATTTCCAAACCTATGTTAGCCACTTAGCAAATGAATTTTGCAAAAGTAAAAAAATACATACCTTTGAACTTCTATGTATCCCTGTAGGGATGGGATGAAAACATAAGTAATCTGTGCTCATGGACAGTTAGAACCTGAAAGTGAGTTCTGCTTCTACATATAAAGAAAGAATAAAATAAAAATCACCCATAATCCCATCATTCAAAATTCACTACTCAACATTTCAGCACATTTATCTTCAGTCTTTTTTTTTTTTCCAATTTTTTTAAGCAAAACAAATAGGCTATCTTTGAGTTTGCTTTTTTGTCATCATTGTTGTTTACAATATATCTTTGTCTTTTGCTTGAACTATTTATTCAAGAAGTTTGTCCCTTCATTCCCAGGATTTAAGTGCTATTGTCTCCCAACCCTTTTGTAATATATTCATCTCCTTCAAAGGCAATTCAAACCATTGACAGAAAAATCATTTTAGCTATTCTGCTGTTTCCTATTTGGAAGATAAATTCTTCAATTAAAATTAAAGATTAACAAAGCCCTAGGTGATTAGCTCCCAACATTTCCAAAGGTGACTTAGCTCTTCTCAGTTGGTAATGCTTACAGATGATGGCTAAAGGTATGCACAATGAAAGGGTCAAATTGAATGTCTTTGAACCTCTGCTCTCCATTTCTGTTAATGGCCTTCCTGGTGTTAGAGATTTGTTTAATGATCAATAGTGGTTTCTCTTCCTACCACTGAGTGTTTCAGAAAGTAGCATAACCAAGTCAATGTTTAACTGGATTCTTTGGGTCTGAAATGGCCAAGCAGGAGTTGAAGGGAAGTCTCCATAGAAACCAACCTCCCAGGAAGTGGCCAAGGGTTAGTGTGAAGTGAAATAAAGCTACACAGATGTCATGAAGGGAAGAAATACTTTGGAGCTGGGCTAACTTCAGAAGTTCCTTGATTAAAATAAGCCAGTTTAAAGGCCTCAAACCACTAACCTCATGGTTTTACGGAGTGTCTTTAATGTGAAATGGGCCTGAGTCACTCTAAGCCTCACCCAAGGGTGACCAAGGTAGTACCTTTGCAAAACAAAGAGGAAGAGACTCCCTTGGCTGGCCCTGTGGACTTTGCATTCACTCAGAATCTGGAAAAAAACAGTTTATATTCATTTGCAAGACTGCAGGACCAGAATAAAGCTTTAGAAGGGCAGTTGCCGCCTCTACGAGAGACCTGGTATGGAAGATATTCTGAAGGTAAATGTAAAACCCAGCAAGAAATTTGTGGGTGTGGGCAAAGGAGAGCTACTGATAGATTAACCTGTCTACCTCTATAATCTATGAAGTTTCTTAATTATTGAAATATAAAGGAACATTTTTCAACAGGAGATAATGTTTGTCTATTTTAAGTATTCTGAGCACATTAGAATAGGTGTGCGAACTGGGAACTCAGGGCTTTTCATCATTCCACACGAGAAGGAAATAATCATTTTGTGTCAGCTTGGTTTATAGTCCTTTTGATATTTATACCTAGCTTTGCCAGGCAATTAAAATTCTTTTCCAATAGACCTTAGATGTGACAAATACTGTTTCATTCCACTTAAATGAGATGACTATGAGAATAGTCAAATTTATAGTCAGAAAATACATTGGTAGATGCTAGGGTCCAAGGGGAGAGGTGGGAATGGGGAATTAGTGTTTAAAGGGGACAGAGTTTCAGTTTAGGAAAGTGAAAAATTTGGGAGATGGATGATGGTGAAAGTTGCACAACAATGTGAATGTACTGAACTGCATAAATATGGTTTGTATAAATATAGTTAAATATGATCAAAAGAGTATGTTTTATATTATGTGACTTTTACCACAAAAACAAAAAATCAAACAAATTCCATAGATAAAAATGTGATGATTATGATAATCATGCACGTCAGTTGGATTTTAAATGTAAATCAATCTCTCCAGTAACATTTCATGCATCAGGCTTTGTTGTTTTGAAAGCAGTACTGTAGGAGTGAATCCATTCTGATGTGCATTTGGAAACCACTCCAAACTGAATTCATTTATTGCAGTACAGATGAGTGGATGGGGCACCGTCTCCCCAACCCCTTATTCTTCATGATCATCTGCAGAACTATGAGAATTTTTCCCATTATGATTGGAAGATCCAAGCCAGAAGGGGCTATAAATTCTCCTGTGGCATTTTACAAGATATAAAATATTTTATGACAATCATGATGATACTTAAACAGATGATACTTAGACATTCTAACCTGGGAAGAGATACATGCATATATATATATATGTATATGTGATATATATACACATATATGTACATTATTTTTTTTTCTTTTCTTCAAATTCTATATTATTAACACAAGTAAGTTTCCATTATTGGCCAAAATATATATATTCTGTGTGTGTGTACACATAAATATATATATGCTTTCCTTTTTAGTACCTAGTAAGTCTTACCTAGAATGATCTTCATGGCTACTTTCTATAGAACTGATAACCTTTGACTGGTTCTATATAGCCTTTTGTTGTTGTTGGACTTCCTAAGCATGTTAGCAGGAATATTCCTCTTAGTCTCATTGAAATATTCATTTTTTATCTAAACCTTCCATCTAGAGTTTTAAGATTTTGATAACCAAAGGGTAAAAGCTGATTCTAATGTGCTAGAGTCTAACTGGGAAATGTTCTTATTTTTGAAATCACAAAATCACATTAAAAATAAATAACAGTGGAATGGTAAGCATTCTGAACATTATCTTCAAGAGACCCACATTCTAACCCCAGCTTCACCAAATACCAGATAGTATGATTTTATGCTTCATCAGTTTTCTTCACCTGTAAGTCAAAGGTAAAAGTAACAGACGCCTATACCACTTCAGGAGAAGCAAATTAAATAATAGGGTGATATTGCCCCAATCATGGCATAAAAATAAGGTGTAGTCACATTGCTGAAATATATTTTGCTGACAATATTTACATGTTTACATCCAACATGTTTTGAGTCTTGCTTGATATACTAGCATTCTTGAAAGAAAAGAAGATCATAGAGATATTCTTTAGGTGATCATTCAAATGGTTTAAGGATAGAAACACATAATTACCCAGGAATTTTTCCATTTAAAATGCAAAATGGGACTACAGGATAGTCTGCACAACAATCAAAGTCAGAATGCATCCAGATTGTTATGAGGAAAGGACAAGGAGGTCATTCACATAGCATTGGTTATGGTAGTAGTCCCAAGGGCCCAGGCTAATCAAACTGAAAAATGAAATCCATATGGATCTCCTGAACTTCTCTGTTTCCTAATGAACTTCTCTGGTTCCTTAACACTGTAGCCCTGTGTTATTTTATCAAGAATAATATTGATATGTTGTATTAGAGTGACAACTTGTAGGAATTCATTTCCCTACTTGCAGTGGGGGAGTGGATTATTTAATTGGGAATATTCAATGATAAACATTGCATATTCCTATTACACACTCAAGTTCCATTTCTTTATCACCTAATACCTATCCATCTATTAATCTATTATACCTGAAAAGAGAACTTATTTTCACTTCTTTTTTTTTTTCATTTATTTTTATTAGTTGGAGGCTAATTACTTTACAACATTGCAGTGGTTTTTGTCATACATTGAAATGAATTAGCCATGGATTTACATGTATTCCCCGTCCCGGTCCCCCCTCCCCCCTCCCTCTCTTATTTTCACTTCTTAAGGTTACTTTTTTTCTGATTTCTATTTATTTGGGAGGGATTTCATGAAATTAAAACAAATCAATGTTTCTATTTTCCAAGCCAAATTCTATGTCTGAATAACATTTCCAGTCAATAATACATTGTTAATTGTATAATTATTCCTCTAAATATTAATTGGGGAGGAAGTGAGGAAAGCAGAAATTAAATCCTGAGTCTAGGCTAATATTTTATCATTTGCCATTATGTGGGGCCCCTGCTTTATGTCTTTCATCTTCACATTCAACCTATTGGTTAGATATACAGAACTGAAGATACAAAATGGTGTTAACAAAGTCTAATAACTAATGATCAATTTAATGTCATAGGAAATTGCTTTTAATGGTTTGTTTTTGTTTCTCTCCAACCCTTCAAGGGCCGAGGGCCATGTATTTTGATTTCCCACTGGAACAGCAAGAAACAAGTATCATTAAAAGGCATCCACCCCGAAGACTTCAAGTAAGATGCATTTAAAAGGCTTTGTAAGGAATTTCTTGGATTTAATGGTAATATCCCTTTTTAACTATAATCATATAGGAGGGATATTGACAGTGACTAAGCTAATGAGAATGTTATTAGAGAGAATGCTGTCAGTGCAAACCATATTTCTTTAGGATTTCCTTTTGTAGTGATTTCACTTTTAAGACCACCACCAATGGAAGCGGGTATAGTACCAAAGATATAGGTATGAAGAGGGACACAAAGGATCTGAATCTTGCACTGATCAATTGAATGATGTAGGGCAATCATGGTAACATGTAACAGCAGCAACTACTATAACTATCTAATTTCCACCTATACAAGTCTGTTACACTCTAGGCAACAATGATCTTTATCATTCATTTAATTCTCATACCCCTCAATGAGAAAGGAAGTATTATCCTTGTGCTTCAGAGAGTCAAATAACTCGCCCAAGGACAGCAGGGGCCACATATCAACCAGGCCTCCAGAGCCTGTGCTCTTAACCATTGGCATAGATGATCTCTACAGTCCTTCTATCCCTAACCTTTCATCATTCGAAATGTTTGGTTAATGAAATTGAGAACACTGAATCTAAGGCTTCCTAGGTGGCACTAGCGGTAAAGAACCTGCCTGCCAATGCAGGAGATGTGAGAGACATAGGTTAGATCTCTGGGTCCAAAAGATCCCCTGGAAGAGGGCATGGCAACCCACTCCAGTATTCTTGCCTGGAGAATCCCATGGACAGAGGAGGCTGGCAGGCTATAGTCCATAGGGTCACAAAGAGTCAGACACGACTGAAGCGACTTTAACACACTGATTTCAAGGCAGCAAAGCAGTTTTAAATGCATTCACCTTAATAAATATTTAATTAATTCCCTGTAGAGACCTATAAATTTTAAGAACCCTCATCCTAGAAGGGGAAAGAGATCCATCTGAATGGGTCCTTTGAAGTGAGCATCAGCTAAAAGCAGGGTTTGGAGCTCTCTTGTGGGCAGGATCTATCACTGATATTTGAAAAATGGAACTGGAATCAAACCCCACCTGCCACACAACTCAGTCCGGTCTCTGGACTAATCCTAGGGGTATCTGAGCTCATTTGTTGGGGATTATTTCTATTTAAGTTGGTTTTTATTTACCTGTCTTCTCCAGAAGCTCACAATTATTTGAGTGATTATATCTTTTGGTTACCAAAAAAGGAGGATCTTTTCCCAAAATTAGAAACCTAAAAATATTGTTTAGTCAATGGAAAATAAAGTGCAATTCTATCAAGTTGATATATAATTTTTAACATTTTGAGCATATCTCTACCTAAAGTGGCAATTTTAAAACTTATATTTTGTTTCTAAATCATTATAAATCAAAGGCCTCCTTTCAAAGAAGCTCATTTTATATGTTCCTGTGAAGCCTCTAAGCTGAATAACTCAAAAAGAATATTATTACTATAAACAGTGAAAAATATTTGTGTAGGAGTTTATAGTTCACAGAGTCCTTTTTTATATATATCAACCATAAATAAGCTAAAGTCAGGCTTTGACTTTTTCAAGTCAATCAAACTCAAAAAGAGAAATTTGCTATTTCAGAGTCAAAGACTACATCCCCATATCCCAACCAACCACCTTAAAAATGAAGAATCAAAACGAATTATTTGAGCATAAAAACTACATCTCATTCAGTCTTATATCTTAAGTCACTAACACAGTATGTATCCCTTGAAAGTTTATGAATAAATGAATTAGTAGACAGATGAATGAATGAAACCCATTATCCTGTGAGACTTCCCAGGTGGCAGTAGTGGTGAAGAACCTGCCTGTGAATGCAGGAGACATTAGAGACGCGAGTTCGACCCCTGGGTTGGGAAGATGCCCTGGAGATGGAAATGGCAACCCACTCCAGTATTCTTATCTGGAGAACCCCAGGGGCAGTCTACAGTCCATGGGGTTGCAAAGAGTCAGATACAACTGAAGTGAATTAGCACACACAACACATTCCTACTGGGAAAAAAAAATCAAAGTGATCTCCCTACTATTTCATATCTGTAGCATCACTGTATTGGAGGTTAAATGGAATAGCCAAAGCAACCAATGTGATAATATATAATGATATAGGAGTTTGTTAATGAACTCAAAAGTTGGGAGGCACCTAGACTTCAGGGAAGAGCTATGTCTTAGAACCTGAAAGGCAGAAGAACTTTCTCTCTGTGCATCTGCTTTCTCTCTCCTTGCAGGTCGACTTTCTCTAGTCCTCAAGACTATTTGGTGAAATTTGGCCACATTGAATTTGCATCTCATAGTTCTAGTCAAACAGACAGACTGGTCTGGGCTTCTTGGCTCTAATTCCAAATTCCTGGGAGATTTAAAAAATATTATTGGCTCAGCTTTGCTCGGGATTCTAGCTCTATTCCAGTGAGCTATGACCAGAGAATATGCTCATACATTAGAAGTGTGGGCAGGGGAGCCTCCCTTCCCCCACCAATTGCCACTCCGTGTAGATTATAGAAGCAGCTCCCAGAGAAGAGGGGAAATCACCGGGAACTTGGCAGACACTCCCAAAGACATCAACCATAATTATCTTCACAAATGAGGCTCAGCACATTTTCCACCACAAATGGATTTTTGAGAGAATAATAAATGCTAGGTTCCCATGACATGCTAATTAATAGCCTAATCCCTGCCAAAGAAAATTACAAAAGTATTTTTAATGATTAAACCAAATCTAATTGCAACCTAAATAATTTGAGTTTCACATTTGGCACACTCCACTTCCTGAACATCTAACTCCTCAAGTAAAGAGCAGGTCTTAAACTAAGGTTCTCCAACTCGGAGATGCTGAGATTTGAGAAGATCTGCCAGGGAGCCCTGACTCAAATGTATCTGCCCCACATTGAAGAGGTGATCATCACCAACCTTTCTGAGAGATTCACCTTCTCATCCAACCATCTCAGGTCCAGCCTAAGATGGAGATGGTCCTCCACCTCTACCCCATATAGAATTTCCTCAAATGATCTCCTTTGATGACTCCTTCATGTCCAATAAAGTGTTAGTTGCTCAGTCATGTCCAGCTTTTTTTGACTCAGGGACTGTGGCCAGCCAGGCTCCTCTGTCCATAGAATTTTCCAGGCAAGAATACTGGAGTGGATGCCATTCCCTTCTCCAGGAGATCATCCTGACTCAGGGATTGAACCCAGATCTCCTGCATTGCAGGCAGATTCTCAAAGATTTGCTTAAATCTCACTTTTCCTTTAAGGCTTATATGACAACCTGTTGACAACTGCAGCTCTTACTCTGATACTCCTGATTCCCTTGACTCTTCATTGTCTTTTCTCTGGAGCACTTATTTCCCTCTAACACACTAAGGAATTTGCTTACATATTAGGTTCATTGTGTGTTTTTTCCACCACCTCTCATCCCCTCCTATTCCACCCCAGTGCTAGAGTATAATCTTCACAGAGACAGGGATTTTTGTCTGTTGTCTTCACTACATATCTAAGTGCCTAGAGCAGAAGCTAGCACATAAATGGTGATTTATAAGTATGCGTTAGTCAATGTTGAAAGAATGAATGGAGAGGACAGAAAGATGACATAAACCTGGATAATTCATTACACTGTTTGAGGTCTTAGATAATTTGTCACAAACTTATTCTCTCTCCTTAACTTTTCTAATCCTTTGCCCATTTTCTATAATCTCTTTCTTTGATAGGTGAGAGTTCTTTGTATACTTTAGATCTAGTCCGTTGTTACATATATGTGTTGCAAGTATCTTCTGTCTATGGTTTGCCCTTTCATTTTGTGTGCATGTGTGTGTTTGTGTACACAAAGAGTTTGATGTTGTCAAATTTCTCAATCTTTATCTCTGTTTTCTATCTCATATTTTGTCAAAGAAATTTTTAAATTCCCCAAATTCACAAAGATAATTTTATTTCAAAATATAATCTTTAACTTTTCACATTTAGGTCCTAATCCATCTTAAATTCATTAAATTCAGGTGTGAAGTTGGAATCTGATCTTATGCTTTTTCCATTTGAAAAATGTCTATTGTCCCAGAACTGTTTATGGAATCATCCTTTGTGACCATTGATTTGAAATGCTACTTCTGTCATGTATCTGACATCTACAGCTCAATGAGTCTGTTTTTGAGTTCTCTCTTCTGTTGAACTGGCCTATTTGTGTATCCACAGGAATTCTTCTCTTTCTATGTACCTTTCAGCTAAGTTTTAATATCTAGTGTGGCAGGTTCCTTTACCTTTTTCTTCTTCAGAATTGTCTTTGCTATTTATAGTCCTTTGCTCTTCCATGTAAAGTTTGGTTCTTCATGTCAAGTTCCACAAAATACCTTTTTAGCATTCTGATGGGAATGCATTCATGGATTAATCTGGGGGAAATTAATCACATTTACAATATTGAGTTTTTTAAACCATGAGCTTGGTATAAATAATTCACTCAAATTTTCTTTTAGGTCTTTCAATATTGTTTCATTTCTCTACAGGGGCCTTGTGTGATGTATTTTTAGGTTTGTTTCTCTATATCTGTATCAGGGTTCAACCAGAGAAATAGAATCTATAAAAGGAGGTATATGTCAAAAGACTTATTACAAGTTACATGACGGTTACATGATTTGGAGGCTGACTGACAAGGCAAGGTTAAATCATAGGACAGGCTATCAGAAAGGGTAGACTGGAACTGTAGGGCATCAGTTGAAGCTTCTGTCCACAGGTAGAATTTCCTCTTCTTCAGGAAAACCTCAGCTTTGCTTTTAAGGCCTTTCAATTGATTGAATCAGGTCCATCTGGATTATCTAAAATAATCTTCTAAGGTTGTTGGTAGTTTAGTCACTAAGACTTGTCCAACTCTTGTGACCCCATGGACTGTAACCCACCAGTCTCCTCTGTCCATGGGGTTCTCCAAGCTAGAATACTGGAGTGGGTTGCCATTTCCTTCTCCAGGGGATCTTCCTGACCCAGGGATTGAACACCGGTATCCCGCACTGCAGGCAGTTTTTTT